AAAGGATAAATAATTAAAATAACCATAACCGTTCAGGCAAGATCATGCAGTCTAGTGGCGAAGACAATCGTCTCCCAAGTAGTAAATCGATGGTTCGAATCCTCCCATGACCTTTTTTATTATGAACTTCGTGAAAAGAATAAAACAAATTAAGTAACCATCGCCGCTTAGCACAAGCCCTTGCAGTCTAATGGCTAAGACAACTGTCTCTAAAGTGGTAAATCGATGTTTTGAATCTTCCAAAAATATTTTATTATGAACTTCGTGAAAGGATAAAGTAAACTAAATAACGATGGTCATCCAGCACAAGACCTTGCAGCTAGTGGCAAAGACGATGGTCTCCATAGTTTTAAATCGATGGTTCGAATCCTAGCATAACCGTTTTTCATAATGAACTTCGTGAAAAGGATAAAGTAAATTAAATAACCATAAGCATTCATCACAAAATTTTGCATCCTAGTGGCGAAGACAATCGTCTCCCAAGTATTATATCGATGGTTCGAATCCTGCCATGACATTTTTCATTATGAACTTTGTGAAAAGAATAAAGTAAATTAAATATCCATGGCCGTTCAGCATGTCTTCAGCAGGCTGTCTTTTAAGTGGTAAATCGATGTTTCGAATCCTGCCAAAACCATTTTTTATTATGAACTTCGTAAAAGGGTAAAGTAAACTAAATAACCATGGCTATCCAGTACAAGAACTTGTGGTCTAGAGGCGAAGACGACTGTCTTCTAAGTGGTAAATCGATGTTTTGAATCCCGCTAAAAGGGACTGAACAGAGGGACTGGGCATCGCTGTCAATCTAATGTTAATTAGGGAGGACCTATATTCATATATTCTGTTACGCCAGGATGATTTTTATTGAAAGTGAGTTGTGTTCAAAAGAAATTAGCCAGGCACAGCAGATATGAATATGGTCCCCTCAATTAACGTCAGATTGACGCCAATGGTGGGGGAAGGGGTGAGAAGATGGTCGTGGGGTGAGAGCAAAAAGGAAGGACGACAGGTTGATAAAAAGAGAGAATAGTTGATAGGGAACGCTGTAGAAGGGACAACATAAACCAGACAACAAGGAAAACAGCCAAAACAATCGTTGCCTTCACAAACTTGAGTATGTGTAAAGAAGGGGGTGTCAAAAATGGCCAAAAATGCGCCACGTAATTTGTAAACAACCACTAGAGAGGTGTGAAAAATTTGCTTTGCCATATGTTGACAAAATGGACATCGTATACTAATTGGTTTAGTAAAAACGCATAGAAGAACGATGTTTCAAAAGCCTCTGTATGGGAAAACTTTTTTTACTGCGGAAAAATGTCCACCATGACCCACCATGTTTCTGCACACGTAGCATTGCTGAAATCTTTAAATTTTCAAACTCTTCATTCGCTCGTAATTTGCTAAATATTCTAGATGTATTGCATGTAGGCAATGCAAACCATGAAAATCATCATTTTATGGAGTGTTTGGGTATAATGGCATTTTCCTTCCCCTTACAAAATTGGTATACAACCCATCATCATTTCGCCCACGGAGTTAAAGGTTTGTTTACAGTGTGGAGAAAACAAATTGGTTCAATTAGATTTTGTCTGCGGTGAACGAAATCATTTCCTAATTCAGCGCCGTCAAAAGAAAATTAATATATATATTATATATATAATATATATATTATATATTATATAATATTATAATATATAATATATATATATATATATATATATATAATTATATAATATATATATAATATTATATAATATATATATATATAATATATAACTATATATTATATACCTTGCTGTCAGGATATGAAGATAAAGTGGTCAAGTAATATATTATATACCTTGCTGTCAGGATATGAAGATAAAGTGGTCAAGAACTATTTTAAGAGAACTTTAGCAGGTAGAAGAAGAGGACACAAAGTTGAGCTAATAGTAAGTGATAGGAAAGATTTTGCTTTCATGTGTAATTTTAAGAAGGGGCAATTGACAATTTCCTTTAATTATGGAGAATGGAATGTACATGGATTCCCCCAACATAGCTAATTCATTAATACTCTTTTTATATAGAACTACAAAATATGCCCATGTTCAATGTTTTTATTTTTTGGCTGATTTCAAGCTAAAAATAATGTGCGGTATATTACATGTGTCAGCAGTGTATCGCTGAATTAATTTCTGGAGATGAATGTGACCTTTCATAGGATGGGGGTTTTAATGTTGAAATTTGAGTTTCATACCGTAAAATTTATATACTTTCTGTTTATATATAATTTGATTTGTATTACTCATTTTGAACATTGTTTATATGTTGATTGAATTGCTGTTGAAATCATGTACTATTATGATAGCTTTTGTACAAAAAATCCATTTTAATGTTTACAAATGAAAAGAAAAAAAATTATTTCATTACTGTTGGTGTGCATTTGTATGTAGGTAAATTAAATAGTGTATCTGCAGTCTGTTGGTAGTTACTTATTCACACTTTATTACTGTATCATGTAATGCCGTGCTCCATAAATGCAAATCTTGCTTGCAAACTGAGCATTTACGGTATGTAGCCTGTGTGACCTTCATGTAAAGACAACAAACAAATAACTCTAAATTTGTCCAAGCTTCCCCCACCCGCCTCCCCCGTGCTTGCCGACATTTTTGGGAAATGAAATATTAACCCATTAAGTGCCAGCACTTTTCACATGACGAGTAAAATTGTCTGGTGTTAGACAGAGCAAATACTAAAGGTAGGGTGCATCAGGGCACAATGCCGTTTAATGGGTTAATTAGTAGATTTTCAGAATTTTGTCGGTAATTTTTGGACAAACACCCCCTGTCGACATGTCTTTATGACGGCCCTGATAGCTTAGTGTTCATATGTGCACCTCCCATCATTCCCATATCACAACAAATGAAGTCATTTGCCAGAATAATTTAATAAAAAATTTATTTTTCAAGTCAAATTCATAAAAAAGATTAATACATTAGCAAAAAGTTCACAAAAGGTTTGGCCGCATGCCCTGGCTACCCTGCTGCTGTTCTGTTCTCCAGCAGTTTAAGGTTTTCATCCGCTGGAACATAATTCACAAGAACACTGGCAGTTGAGTAACCCAAGTTGGCCAAGCTAATCAAACCTACTTAAACACAAGATTTTTCCCTGAGGAAACACTTGATACAATCAACCTCCTAAGCTTATCTGCACAGAATCTACACTTAACATCTGACATGCACACCTTCTGCAACCCACAATAACAGTATGCCAAATCTCCAGAGCTTACTTGTTTGGGAATATATGACTTGGCACAAGAATGATCAGATCTCTCATTAGGAAGGTTAAAACCTCTCTCCCTGAGCCAGATTAAGGATACAAACTCATGTCGGAAAATTTGTTCCCATCTGGAAACAAAATTGGTATTCCTGCTGTATTTTGCAATGAAGACATGTTTTGCCTCTCTTCCTTCCATTGAGTTAATACCGTTGCCAAGGTCATATTTGTCCTTCATGTACTGGGTATGGGCAGGAACAATATTGCCTATTGTCCAAACAGTGGGATTTACTTGAAAGAACAGAGCATTTGCCCGGAAATAGTCTCGACAGAGATTGGTAAGCTTCTTTATCTCATCATTTGAAATATTTATTCGACTGAATATCGAAACACAATCTCTAAGAAGAAGGCAAATGTATGCAAGAATATGCAGAATAGTTTTCTGCCTACCAGGCTCAGAAATAGGTTCAATATATGAAATTAATTTCATGAAATGCAGGAGAAAAAGTCTTGACTGCTTGCCAGTGAAGCGATATTCAAAACTTTTTCCATTAGCACCAGTTTCATCAAACCACTTGATGATCTTATTCGCTAACCTTGATAAATTGCATTCACGCATGGAAAGGATGTACATTTTAAATGGAGAGTTTGAAGGAACCTGAGCAAAAGAATTCACCTTCTGTCCAAGCTTTGTCATTGCAATTACTTCATAAAGCAACAACCTATGGGTAAGTGCACAAGCATTGTTTTTTAGGTGAAGCGGGTCTACATGAGCCCGATCAATCAACCTTCCAACAATGGGTTGAAATTCCTGGCGGCTTTTCAACTGGGCAATGAAGGATGTTACCTTAGATCTTACTGTGGCTGGTGCCAATGGTTTTTTGGCCATAGTTTTCTTAAAATCTTCAACCTTGTTTGCAGCAGAGACCCTGTCTTCATATTTCCAGGGCTTCCACATTTCCTTCCCAGAAAAACTGAAAGAACCTGCAAGAGAACTCATATTATGGGTGCTTACATTTGCAAAGGTAGAAAAGAAAGTGGCTGCGTTTGATAGTTCTCCACCAAAGAATGCCAACATCTTCATGTCGTTAGGCATTTCTGAGACATGAAATCTTACATTAACCATCTCACCACCACACTCAACCTGAAAGGTACTTTTCTCCAAAACACTAATATCACTCAAGCACTTTTGTAGAAACCGACGCACTGGCACACAATCCTCTTTACAATTGGCTCCAAACAATAGATAATTCTCATTGCTGCTTAGCACTTTCCTGCCTAAATTAAGAAAACTAACTAACCAGCAACACGAAGTGTCATCTTTTTCAAATGGTGCCCCATCGCCTCCAAGTGAAATATTGAAAGTGTAAGTTTGTTTCTTAAAGCATACAAGCTCATACCTCTTTCGACACACTAAGTAGTATCTAGCAAGAATAAGAACTATCTCCTGAATATTTCTATACACCCCATCAACTTTGTCAATTTCATCTAGACCATCACAAAGTGTTTCCCTAATGGAATAAAGTTTACCAATATCTATTGATTTAATATAATGTGCAAGCTTATGGTAAGGCAACAGTCTCGGAATAGGGCAGTTATTGATTTTTATACGAAGAGACTTTGCTTCATTACTCTTTTTGTAACTACTTGCCCTATAAACATTACGATACTTCCTTTTACCCATTATACCGCCACTATAATACACAGCGATACTTCTTGTCATGTTATCATTTGACTTTTCATAATCATTTATACCTTTCTGTAATATCTTAGGAATTACTCTTTTAACTGTTTTAACATTTGTTGAAAAAACATTAACTAAAAGTTTTTCAGAACATTTTGTTATTGCTGTGTCACACAGACCAACTTGGCCTGGTAAATTTGAGTGATTAGTAGCCCCATGAATCTGACATGCTGCCTCAAATGTCTCTGAACTCCTCCTTCTTGAAGTAGCTAGACTAACTGTACTATTTGCACCAAACTGAGTGCGGTTTCTCATTCTTATTGAGGTTGATCTCTCTGAAATAAATCTTTTCTTCCTAGGTGGCTCTGAACTACCATGACCTGCTCTACCTGCTCTATTCACTTCACTGATAACATCACCCCCTTCCTCAATATATTTATCAAGGTTTTCAATCTGAAGGCAATTATGAATTTTATTTAGAATGTGTGCAGCAGGAAAAAAAATACAAAAGCCAATATAATATACACAGCCAAAAACACCCAAGTTGCAACAAGTCTGCTGCAGGCCTGTTGCAACTTGTTGTATCAAACTGATATCTGATGTGTTCGCATGGCTTGCATCAGCTTGTTCAGACAGGGCTGTTACAAGTTGTCAACAGACTTGCTGCAAGTCGTCAACAGACTTGATGCAAGTTGTTCTCATCAGACCTGATGCAAGTTGTCAACAAACCTGTTAGAAGTTACAACAGACTTGCTGCAAGTTGTTCAATCAGACTTGTCAAGCTTGGGATTGACAAGTTGCATCAAGACTGCTAATTATGACAAGTTGCAACAAGACTGATTTTCACAGGCTTGTCGCAACTTGTTGAAATTAACCAGCTTTTTGCAACCGGTTGATAACTTGAAACAAGCCGGTAAAACTGACAACTTGCAACAAGTCTGTGGCGTTTCTGGCTGTGTAGTAGAGTACCAGTCCGTGAAACATGCTGCTCAGGTCTACATTCAAAGCACAATCAAATTAATATTTATATAACTCAATTTTTTAAAAAAATACACTAAATTTTGCATCTATTCGTCTCATTCTCTCACGTTTTGAACAAAGTTCCTTCTCTTTCTGAGCTAATTGCACATCTGTTTCCTGAATAGCTTTTGTTTCTTTTAAAACATTGTCCCATTTCTCCTTCTGCAAGACCATATATTTCCCAACAGGAAATCTGTTGTATCGCCTCTTCCTTACACCACTTGAGGCAGCCATGCTAGAAACATGATAAAATCCATCAAAATACAAGGAAAATAAGCGCTTTCTTGCCAAACAAAAAACATACGATCGAAGAACAATACCTAAGCGTTAAGTATTTGCCAAAGAACAAGCACAACAACGTAGCTGCCCAAAGTTTAATGAAGCCAAACATACCATTGTGTGTACTCAATGTGAATACCAAAACAATTCTTCAAAATAGGGTATCTACTTGCACGTAAAAAGTAGGTCAAATTAAATCTTTTCTCTGCATATTTGGTATCAAACGGGAGATTTTGATCAGCTCTACTTCGCTCATCGACTCAATTTTCTGAACAGTAAAAAGAGGCCTTATGGGAAGGCGTAAAAGTGGAGATAAAATCGAAATTCCTTGTTTTTCCGTATTAAAAAAACTCGAACCCAGTTTCCCAAAAATTGCGGGTCGCGACCGACACGATCTACGTGAGCGAATTTATTCCAGCCAGTGCCCGCCGTGGTACCTCTAACATGAGTGCAACCTTTCGTTCACTGCAATGTAATTTATAACCACTAAACTTCTACACAAAAATATGGCATATGTTGATGTTGAAATAGTTTCGAAACGTTAGCTTCAGTTAGCTTATCACTTTACTAAGAACCCACTTATTAAATTAGAAAAGGAATATGGACCTAACTTTTTGAAGACAGAGGGGAGGGGGGGCATTGATACTATGATGAATTACGATTTTGAATTTATTGCGAATAGTTTCATTTTAGGGAATGAGGTATAATTAACCCGAACATACCATATCACTTCCACTTTTATGACCAGCAAAGTCTTTGTAGAACTTTTAAAATATAATAATCAGTGGTTAATTGACAGATTGTACAATACAGTAAAACAAAGGTACGAAATAATAAAAATTACACTTCCTTACTAAAGCCTCTGTGATAAGGTCTTCTCTGCGCTCAGTAGAAATTGTAATATTCTGAGTCTTTTGCCTGCTTTGTCTATAAAACAAAAACAGTTTTTTTACAAATTACCAGCAGTTGTCAGTTTTATTTTATCTCAAGATTGACAACTGACCTTTTCTCCCACCAATGATAACTTCTGTTGGTGCCTTCAAGCTTGGCAAGATGTTTAGAAAATCTTTGAAAGCCCAATAAAATATTTTTGAAAATTTGTCAGTTAATAACTTACTCCATGTGGTTACCAACCATTCACATGTGCAATGACAAAACTAGATTGAGAACTTTATGGCTGCAGTTATATTCCAGTTGCCAAAATACATAGAAAGACAGAATGATAGTTGTCAGGTGTTGAAATCCTACATACAATAATTTGCATGAAATTATGGAAATGATAATAAAATCCTAAAAGGACATAGGATTGATTTCAACATCATTTGTTAGGAAAATCAGCAAAAGAACCTCTATTTTGGAGTTGGTCTGAATTCTTGACATTTTGCCAAAACTTTCTAATAGTTGTTTATCATAACAAAGAGCTATTATATATGTTAGGCATTTGCAAGCAAATTCCAATTTGAAACCCAGGATCATGCAGCAATTATATTGTATCAATATGGTGGAAGATAGGAAGTCAGGATACATATCACGTCAGATAAGCCCAGGTTGCAAAAGACATCTTAATCAAAATTTACATCTAAATGACTTTGACAAACATTGACACTCAGGTATTAAAGTCACATACTCGGTTAGAAAACTTGTAATTTGTAATAACAAAAATATTACAATTACCTGGTATTATTTAATATACCAGAGCAGTACTTGAGTGTGAAAGTACAAAAGTATCCAGAACTATTACACTTACTCAAAATCGAAAACATTCGATTGCAATTCCGTTATGATCTTTGGCGCATACCCGATTCGTGAACTTTGACGTCGGGCGCGTGATGAAAGGACTGATGAAATATTATGTGGCAGATCACTAATGAGGGTTATAAGGCCGTGTTACGAGTAACGAAATATATTGTAATAATTAAATAAATATGTAATGCATAATTATACGGCACTAATAATATAATGCTACCATTAAATTGTTCTACGGTTCTACGGTTTTATGGTTTTATTGTTTGATGGTTCTACGGTTCTATGGTTCTATGGTTCTATGGTTCTACGGTTCTACGGTTCTACCGTTCTACGGTTATATGGTTCCATGGTTCTATGGTTCTACGGTTCCAGGGTTCTACAGTTCCAGGATTCTACGGTTCCATTGTTCTACGGTTCTATGGTTTTACAGTTCTATTGCAATAATACGAAATTTTCTATAAATCTCTAATAAAGTATATTATTTACTCTCTTTTCAGTTTACACTGTCTTAAAATTCGTAAAAAACTAAAAACGATTGTTAATAAATCCAAAAAAGGCAAAGCGAGACGATGTTTGAAATTTCAAATTAAAATTTCGCCTTTCTCTCGTTGTACGGTTGGTTGCCGCGACACTATATCCCCAAATATGTCGATTATGCGTCCACTCTGACTCTTACTCATTATTATATTTCGGTCAGTGGATGCATTTACGTAACATTGGTTCACAAGGGAATGAGGGATATTTACTGTCAACAATCAGGCGTATAAAATTAATTTATCAAACCATGGAAGAAAAACAAAATATTTCACCTATGATAATTTGGAAATATCCCTTCCTTGCTGACTCAATTGTGGTGGAAGAGTAAGTGATAACCTTGTTGATGTACATAATCTTTACGATTATTTATGTTTACCACCTCTATGATACCTTTAAGAAATGGATCTGACTTGTTAAACATATCAATAAATATTTTTTCTGATACAGGGTTCATGGAGCATAAGAATGCCTGGGGTAGAAACAATTTAAGAAAAAATCCTGCACTTTAGCTTGTTACAGAGGTAAGTTTGCTTTTAGTTTACAGCTTTAATATTGATATAAGGTACTATAATTCTTGTTGACAAACTATCCAAGCTGATAATTGACTGCCAAATTTCTTTGTTCGACATACCCATGTGTGCTACTTCGCTACTTTTTAGTTACCTGCCATATTTTGTATAAAATTCTCATTGATATTTTAGTTAATTGACAGAGTAAGGGTTTTAAATTACCAGTAGAGGAATTTTCTTTCACAATGTATCTAGCAAACTCTATTAATTCTTTTTCAGGTAAAAGCAGAATTTTAAAGAGTAAACCACAAGTTAATCCATGATATTATTGGCAAATTTCAATCCATTGATTGAGAAAAATATTTTGGACTATGCCAAGAAATGTAACAAGAAACTACATTTGTTCTTATAAACAGAGTGGAGAGAGCAATTACTGGGAAATCAGGTAAGTCATGCAATTAATAATAATTTGCCAAACCAATGGCAAAATTATAGTATTATAGCAATACAGGCTATTGCTACATGAAATATGCCTATTTATAATCTAACATAATCTATCTTGATAAACAATTTTTTTAACAGACATCCAGAGCACAGTTGCTTAGATTTTGAAGGAATTATTGAAGAAGAATGTAGGAGAATCTCAGTCTCTCTTTTTTAAGATTTGTTCAGTAAGTGTAAGAACCTTTGTGGGCTGACTTTGTTTTTTAAATACTTTTAAAGTCCTTCTAAAAAACATTGGTTTCTTATTAAAGGTTGTTGATTCCATAGATCAGGATAATGATTCAGAAGACATTTCAGACGTTCAAACTTTGATGATTGCGGTGGAGGGCAAATGTTATCCTATCGAAGAGCACTCAACCTTATTTTATCCACTAAACATGGAGTACATTGCTGGTGTGGCAAATGGAAACTGCTCTGGTCGGCAAGCCTTAGGACAAAAACTTTTGAAGGACGTTAAGTACACTAGACATTTTATACATTCTTGTACATAGATTTTCCTGTCACAGCATATGTAGAAATAAATATTTTCAAGTCGCATTTTGTATACTTCGTATGATTATATAGCTTATGCTATTTAGTCGCTCCAATGCTAGCGCCAAAAGTGCAAAAACTAAACCACACAAACTTCGGGTGTTAAATAAGACGATGTAAAAACTGATGTGTAGGTTAAAATAACAAAAAATAGACATCGCCTTAAAGGTTTTGTTTAAATCAGCATTTGTTTGTCAATAATTCGATTTTCTATCGATCTACTTATTAAATTTCAACATGACACTTGCCAAGCAAGTTACGTCATGCGCACATTGGGCAAAAAAACGTGTGACTCGATTTGGCTTCAGTTTCATATCTGTATTACAAAACAAACACGACAAAAAATGTTGGCTTACATGATTTCACTACATTTCATTATCTATAGGTATTATTTACAAACATTTAAAAAATGTACTATTAAGTTAAGCATGCCGTCACACTAAAGAGTCAAAAGAAACATATGCATATAAATACCTATATAGGTGATTACAACAAATTTTAGCAAGTATACAAATAAGTTGTACCATATAGCAAAATTTATAGGTATGGATAACAATTTTCATAGCATGGATGAGTTACAAGCAAGCATGTTGAAGCAATAATAATGTTACAATATATAAAATTATATTACTACCGTTTTTTTATGCAATCAAAATGTTCAACAGAGCTTATCTCTTTAAGTCATCCGGCTGCCAATAGTCCAGGTGATGAACAGTTTTTGACTTTTGATACCATGTCAGAGTCATCCATAAAGAACAATGGGCTGGCATAAGAACATATATTTAGCATGATATGAATACATGTATCTTTTACAGATAGTACCACATAAAATATGGTATGTATTCATGGAAAAACTAGATTTAGGCTAATCATTATTATAATATAATGTCCTCTTTGATCTAAAACTTCCTAATTATCAGATTTCCTCAGTTACCATTGGTCTCTCATTTATTTATTGAGTCCCCTCATGTCTTTCCCCATGCAATGTTGCAAAATTCTGTTCTAATCTAAAAGGACAAAAATAATGAATTAACAAGGCTAGCAATATAGCCACAGCAATGACAGCATTATTAGTGTCATCATCAAGACAATAATAACTCAAGGATAAAGGAACATTATGCTGACTTT